GTATCAAGCGCTAGAGGAACACGAGGAGTTGATACACGTTTAAAAAGTGTGTTGTTAACAAGCTGGATGATCCGTCTCCTCTTCAACCCAGAGGTGCGCTTTCCACTTCACCTCTATTTGGTGTACCAAGAGCATTTAATGGAATTTCAGGACCTTATGTAAATACGTTTTTGTCACTGTATGGAAGATTAAACTTGCACTCATGGATAGAGTGTTTCAGAGCTCATGTATTGATCTTATAATACTGAATTGTCTTTTCTGGCCGGTGCCACATGAGGAGCTGTAGTGGTTAGCACTGTTGCTTTGCAGCAAAAAGGCCCTGGGTTTGAAACCAGGCAGAGACCTTTCGGTGTGGAGTTTACATGTTCCTCCAGGATCTGCAGGAGTTTTTCCCTGGTGTTTTCTCACAGTCCAAAGCTATGCATGGATCAGGTTTACTGGCGATTCTAAAATTCCAAAATGAATGTGAGCATTACGGGCGGCCCATCTGTCTGTATTAGCCCTGAGAAAAACTGGCAGCCTGTTCAGGGTGTATTAGCTCCACATTGTACCTGAACTGGATACGCTGAAGATACATTCACTTGATCTTTTACTGTAAAACTTTAATTGTTGCCACTTGATATGTTGTTTTGGTACTGTTTTCAAATACACATGGATGAAGGTTTTTAATTATTATAAAAACACTGAATTCTGTGATTTACATTTTACATTTGTAACAGGGTTACACATCATGTATATCTTTGAGAGTTATTTATGGCAAACTGTTGGAATTCATTTGGCCACACTTGTTCCGGTGACCATGATTATTCCTGTGCAGTCATGAAACATGATCCACAGTATATTTTTTTAAGTGAGACACATAAGACGCAAGTTAAGCTGTCCAGGTGAGTATATTTTTGAACTGATGTTATAAAAGAAACCAAAGATGAAGCCAAAGTTTCCCTTTTCAAAACAAAGCTTTCACAGAGTCCTTCTTCCATTAGTAAAATGAACAGCCTTACTTGTGCTTTCTCAGTACCAGTGCTTTAATTTAGCTGTTAAAAACTGGAGTCTACAGCTTTGGGTATTGCCAACAGAGACTTTGCTTACTGACTTCCACTGAGACAGCTTGAGGGGAAAACACAGCAGAGAATCTCTTCCCTTCCACCCGAGGCTACCACCCAACTTTTCCTTCAATCTATTCTACTTACTCTAGTCCTTTTGAAGTCATTTCATAACAGGGCAATTTTCTTGTTAGCGTTTGGCTTTAATTGTGGGTAATTAAGCGTGCTCCAGCAGTATAGAGAGCGTTGTTCGCAGGACTGGGGGGAAATTAACCGTAGTTCAGCTGTGAAATATGGGGTTAAGTGGGAGACGGGGTATGGAGAAGAGAAGCCGAGTAGTGGGGTCAGTGACTCCAAAACAGGGTTCAAATTGTCTAAAAGAAATGCTGCTTTAGGAGCAGAAGAAGATGGCGATGTTAGAAAATGAAGCAGGAACACAAATGGATAGTTTTAGTAACATTCAGCAGGGCTGAAGAAGGTAAAGCAGGAAGTGTAAGAGAATAATAATGATGTGAGAGAGAAATTAGTATACACAAGTGTGTGTTAAGACAGAAACTACATTTCAGCAGCACTTGCATGTCAGAATACATATAAATAGTATAAAGGAGTAAAAGTTGACTTGGTGACTTGGGGCATTCAGGGATTTTAAAGTGTTTATATTTAACAAGTACCGAAAGTATTCCCGAAAAAGCTTATCAATAGATGAAATTGATGCAAAATTACGGATACTTATACTTTTGTCTGTATATATTTTAGCTGGTGAAGCTTTCAGCATCAAAACTAAACTGAGTATAAGTGATCAACATTGTTCAGGACAGCCCCCCCCAAACAGTAAAATGCATTTCAACAATTGTCAACAAAACAAAGTGTGCACACAGTCAAAACTCTGGATGGCTCTAGCTGTCACCAAGTGGATTATAGACTTCACACAGAGTGACCTTTGATTAAATGCACCACCTTACCCTCTGCATCCATTAATGCTTTATTTTAACCCCATAACAGCTATAAACATTGATGCAGCCATAAAGCAGATGAGGAATGATTGGAGCCATTGACTGTACTGTCAAATGCTCAGTGGATAGGGACTAACTCTGCTGGGCCCTTTATGAGTGCTTCATCCCCCGGTGGAACTGGCTCCTCTGACTATAATGAACCTGTTAAAGCCTCTATAAATATTGGCTCCCATGCTTAGTGATCGTTTGAATTACCTCGGAAATAGAGCACCGTTTGCAAACAAGTGGCTGGGCGTTGGAGGTGCTGAAGCTAATACTTAATCAATGGAGGGGAACTCTCTTGGAGTGGGCCCTCGCAGAGCCTTGATTCATACTGTGGGTGCGGATATAATGTTGTTTAGAATAAGCACAAAACTACCATATTGATTAACACATTACCAGTGTCAATAGGAAAGGGTTTTTCAGGAAGAAGTAAAAACTGCAGGGGTACTGGGATAGCTGTTGAAAAAAAAAAACATGAAAAGACTGCAGTGGGAACTACACACCTTCCTGCCAGCCCCTGAGAGAAATTCAGACTTAACTCTACGGCAGGGTCACTCTCCCATTGTTGGGTGCCGGTGTTACAGATTAGTTGTGAGTCCAGGTTCTACAAGCCTAGGAAATCAAAACATTTCCCAGTTCACAAAAGGAAGGTTTCTCGTGTGATTAAGTGAGATAAGATGGTTTCCGAAGCCTTAAGCGAGGCACCCTGTTACATTTCAAATACTTCAAGGAGTAAAACACTAAGTTATGTGAAAACTTTCATATGAGCAATCTGAAAATATGTTCAAATGAGTTTTTATCTTTCAAAACAAAGTAAACACAAACAATACAGAAATAAAACAAGAAAAAGCTTTTTTCTTTCTACTTTTAGTTACGCAAAAGTTTTCTCTAATATCTTAACAGGTTTCTTTCTGATTAGTGGCACAGATGTCACTGATAGGCAGCATCTTGGCAACAGCAATGATGCACATTTATGAAAAGTAATAATTAATATGACTCTAAAATGGAATTTGTGCATGTATTCAAGATTAATTGGGGGGGGGGGGGTTAAAGCTCATGCTTTGTCTTTGGGTTCTGCTCAACGATTTATAGGGAAAACCAATTTTGTCACATCTTAGCAGCAAAAACATATAATCAATTTGGCTGAGATTAAACACTCTCAGCCATTTTCAGGCTGTTTGCACTGATTTTTTTTATTACACTACTTCAGAATATTACCTAAACACTGTAAATTATATATCATCTAACAACAGCAGCAGCAGTCTGGCTCTCTCACATGTGACTGCACGGCTAACACAGACATGGACGACATTTCTTATTTTCCAAAATAATTCCTGGGTGCTTTATGTCTGTTGGCACAGACATAAATATATGTAAACTCTTCTACATTCTTAGATTAGTATCTGAGAGGATCTGTATGATTAATAATACTGATTGATTAATAATTATGCATTATAGAATACATTATTATTAATCCATAATTACATAGATAAATAAATTGCATGCAGTTGCATAGGCTACTGAGACGTGCACACATGTCGATGTAAATGCATCATTTCGAGTGTATATTTGAAAAGCACCCGAGCCATCAGTGTGATGCTTTTGACCTTGTGTGACGTGAAGTTGAAATCAATGCAAAGGTCAAGCTGACAGTATCCAGACTGCCCTTCAGGCCACTGTGGACCCACAAGCAGGGCAGAGAGTGAGAAACAGTTTTTACACTAAAATTTTCGCAGCGCTTTTCAGTACATTTTTCATTATTCCACATAAAAAAGCCATCACCTTAAATTTATTTAAGGACTGGTCATAAAAATTATCATAATAAAACTGCACATGTTCAGGTTTGGGAATGTGAAAAATTGTTAGATGAAAAAAAGGTTATACACGTGTAGAGGAAAGGTCCATGTGACCTTGACCTTTTGGCCAACCTTCACTGATTTGCAACTAAAATTAACACAACAAAATGCATGAAAAAGTATTAAAAGTATAAAAATTCCAGCGCTGTATGAATACACAAAGTCAGTCTGATTTCCTGCATCAAAGCAGCAGCTGCAGAGTGACATCAGTGGGACCTCAAAGATTAGAGTCTCATTTCTCTGCTGTCTATGTTTGAGTTGTTCTTCATAACCACAAAAACACGAAAACGCACGACAAAAGCACGAGGATGATGCTGGGATCTTGAACTGTGTGAAATTCCCTTTCATCGCAGCACCCACACATTACACTTGACATAATCCAAAAGGTAAATATTTTTAAAAGTAATAAGATAAGCGTTTGTGAAGCATAATACACAAAAGAAGGAGCTGCATTTGAATTTTCAGCTGGTAAAATTATTGTGGTTTAGCTTTACGGACATAAACTACTGTTAAATACCCCCGTGTAAACTCTTCTAGAGGTACAGGTTAGCATCTGAGAGGATCTATGTCTTTAGCCACTTTTACGATTAAAATGAATCCATAATTCCATGCATATGCACACTGGAATTAAATGCATGGAGTACTGAGATATGCTCGCAAATGGACACGCTCCATCCTGGCTGAACAAGTTTTTGAAGCGAATATCTTCATTTGCCAAGTTCATGTTTCAGTTCCCCGACAGCTGCTATACTTTCCACCGCACATTTGTTTACCTTCATCCCCTCTCCTTAGCGTCTGGGTCCCCGAAGCCGCTGTAGGATACAAACCCACGAATTCAACGCATAAACACGCTTTCACTTTAAAGCAGGAACCTTTTAGGAGTTGTTGCCGATCTATTTGAGGGGAAAGTACCGCGTACAGCGCGCTGTTCGACAAACTCCGGAGCACAAGCGTACACAGCCTACATCAATCAATTTCTGCAGGAGGTGCGCATGTTTCCCTCGCACTAAAGTGCATTATATTTCTCGTGGGATTCTTATTCCTGACGCTTTTCTCTATTATTAATGCCACTTGTCTGTAACAGAATGGGAAAGTAGGATGCTTACCTTCATCGAAGCACCTTCATTGACTTGTCCGGCAGCTCCTACTTAGGTTGATGGGAATCCTGTCGACGTGCGCAGAGGACTGGTGGTAATCGAGCAATTTAACAGATCGGACAGCGAATCCTTCCTCCTGCATTAAACCACATTGGTGAAGTGTTACACTGGCATGACGTATGAGCGGCAATATGAGTGAATACCGCCCGTAGGGCGTCAGAAAAAAAAATCAAGATGAGTGAGATGAGCAAACAGCGCGCGGACTATAGCCGGAGAAAAGTTATCCTCGGAGCGGGAAAAAAAGTTGACGAGGAAAAAAAGGGACCCCAATCTGCTTGTGTCCGTATTCTGTTATGATATAGTTTATATTAGCAATGTTAGCAAAACATGAAAAGGAAAACAAGGAGAAACGGTCAGAGGTGCGAGGGGAGAGCGCGCGAAAAGGTAGAGATCCGGGCGCTGGGAGGGATGTAAGGATGAGAGCGCAGAAATAGGGGGGAGGTTTAAAAAAAACGAAGGTGCAGAGCCTGAACCTCCACCTCACATCAGCCGGACTGCATTTAAGTTTCTATCAGCTGCAGACGGTGTTCTGCACGTGTTCGTGTGGACGTGAGACAGAAAATTGACCCACACAGTGAAGAGACCGCACAAGGAAAATATATGTAGACGGGTGGTGGCCAGAAAACGGATCGATCGGGTTATAATTTTGTCCAAAAGTCGAGGGAAAATAAAGTTCATGGAGGAATGAAATTTAAAAACAGATGGCGAATCCCGTCGCCCCTAAATAAGATTCGATCTTCGGGAATGGAGTGTAGATAATATTTGGTTGGACGTTTGATGAAAATGACGGATTTTTCATTTTGGACAGGTGGGGGTAGATAGAGTGGAGTGAGGTGGGGGGCAGAGTGGAGGTGATGGTGGGTGGATATGATGTGTCTAGGGACAGAAACTAAACTTGGGCGAGGAGGACGCAGTGTTTTTCCCCCCTTCAGAGTCATCCAAGGATCTCATCCCCTTTCTCCATTTGCCCCCAGTGTGCGCACAAGACCCCCACACCTCCTTTCACTTTCCTCCACCCCGCAAACAGGGGTGGTGGGTGAAGGGAGGAAAAGGAGAGAAAACAAGAATACCAAATAAATGAGAAATTTTCGTACAGGCCCCGCTTCCGTGCGTTCCATGCTAGCAATAACAATTAAATATCGACCGCTTTCCCGGCCGGAGAGAACCTGAGATACCCAGAGACTGCCAAGTACCGAGACCCCCTCCTCCCTTCCCCTTTCCCCCCCATCTTCCACATATGCACTCACTCACACAGTCCCTCACTCACTCTCCTCCTTTTCTCGTCATCCCCTCCCTATATACCTCTTTTCCTTCTAATCCAAGTCCATCAGGCCAATCTCTTCTAATTTGGTGTATCTCATTTCTCTTGATTCCATCCCACAACCCATTTCAGCTCCACTTTTATCATTGCTGATTTGGGGGTGGCCTCTCGGACACACTCTCATTTTCTCTCTGTGCAAAAGGACTTCCTCACACCATGCATGTTAGTTTATCAAAATCAATTATGGGATTGAGATTCGCGTGGTTCTCTCCCGCGTAAATGTTAGAGCAAAGGCTCTAGCCACTGCAACACATAGCAACTCTTTGACGTTGTCTCCTGGTGAACTCTTTGGTTTTTCTTTATGGGGTTTTTAATTTTATTTTTTTTGGTGCGTAAAACTGTGTGAAGCTCCTTGCCACAGTTTCCAAAATGTAGAGGCAGGTCAAGAAATTAACAATACATTTGGGTTATTTGGGGCTATTAGATGATAAATAATGAAAGGATGAGTTCATGACAGATCCACTTGACCTTTGAGAGACCCTTTCTTGGGACAGTAGGGCCTTCTTTATGATGAATTAACACAAAAACAAAAGCTTAAAAGAGCCCAGCGAAAAAAAAATCTAAAGGATAAAAGTGCACAGGCACTATTGACCAAGTGTGTTTTTGGGGCGTCTGTTTGGATCTTTCAGTGGAGTAGGTGACTGCACCTTTTTGGCATTTATTAGAAAACCTCTATGGATCCCTGTGCAATATGATGGCCTATAATCTAGCGTTTTATACCCAACATGGGACAATGGAGTTTGCGGGTTTGAGACTTTAGACCAAAAGACAAACAGGTAGGCTCCATTCCTTTCCAACAAACTCCTTTTGTTGATTGACGGGGACCCTGGATTTGTGCAGCTCGTGACAAGACTGCCAGAGGAGTGGCATTATGTTGGACTTATAAGTCTTGAGCACGCCAATGCCAACTTTCCAAACGAACTGCACAACTATCAAAAGTTTCTCCATCATTGTCGTTGTGTCTTCTCTCACTCCTCTTTATATTTTTTTCCGCCTCAGAACTTCTCTCTGCTCGCACCCAAACCATTCAATTTCTATTTATTTCACCCCTCCACTCCTCAAGCTCTCCCACCCCCGCCACCCAACACCTCCCCCGTCTCCCTCATCCTCCTTCTCATCTCTCCCTTTTCACACCTCTCCGCATCTCCCCGCTCGCCATTAAAACCCATTCTTCCCCCTGTTGTCGCCCTAATTCTCCACCCCGCTGTCTTTTCCCTTTCCTTATACTTGCCTCCACCTCGTTATCTCCCCCATTTGGCTTTAATTAGTTAATGCATTAATTATCTACGCCCCAATACCTGCACCATTAACATAGCCTCTCCTTCCCGTGGCTCCATCACTGCCTCACCCCGAGGCCTCTGGGCAGGAGATGCCGTATGGACACACGGCTATACCCGCGCACACGCACAGACACACAAAACCGCTCTCTCTTTCTCTCCCTGTTCCTTTTTTACCCCATGCCTCTTTTTCACTCTATTTCTCGCTCTTCCACTCTTTGCCCCCTACCTATTTCCCCCCAAGTCATCTCTCTCCCCCCGTCTATCTTTCTTCTGCCCCCCTATACTCTCCCCTTTTTCTCTCTGTGCCTTGCAGTCGCCTCTGCCGGCTGGTCTCTCTCCCCGGCGACGGAATTATGAAAAATGCGCCCATCGACAGAGCGCCTCAGCTTCGATTAGCCGAGATGGGACATGACAGGCCGCGATCAATACTTATACCGTCCTATAACGTGTCAACTAATGAATCAATCTCGGCTAAATTTTCCATTTTTCAAAAGCCGACGCGAGAGACTGGAATATCCTCTTTTGTAAAGATATTATTATCGATTTCGTCGGCAATTTGACATCGGGGGTAGTTAATTCCACTCTAGAATAAAATTGAAAACACTTGAGATTGAAGTGAGAGAGGGAGAGAGAGGGAGTGAGCAAGAGAGAAGCGAGGAGAGGAGGGAGGCAAGGGCAGGCAGGAGGGGAGGGGGAGACTGCTGTTGACTTGATAAAAGAGAATGGGAAGATGGAAGGAAGGGGAAAGGGGGTAGGAAGAAGAGATACTACTGGTGGTGTTGCAGAAACAGCAGCAGTCTATCTATCTTTAAAAGCAGAAGATAAAGGCAGATCTACACAAAGGTGGATAAAATTAGACGTACAATCCACTTGAAATAAAAACTGCCATATTTGAGAATCTTATGTGTGTCTCTATTTTGTTAAAGATATGTTGCAATAACTCTGTAGTTATTTTTGATGATGTTTCCTGTTATTTTCTCCCTGCCTAGATTTAGATGCTTGGGTAGATGGATGGTACACTGATTAAATGTTGTTTGGGGGTTTTTTTTGTGCATTTTAAAATGTTATGTGGTAAACTTTGCAGTGAGTCACCATCATTCAAGTAACGTGTATGGACTTAAGGATCACTACAAATGAGAAATGCTCTTGGAAGTGGGAAGTTGCTATTCAGTGATCATTCATATGACAGTAGCTTAAAATCATTTCAACAGCACTCTTAACATGTGCATTTAATATAACATAAGCAAACTTGTGCGCATGCCATTCATGTGCATAAATGCGTGTGTGTTTGTTTGTGTGTGTGCGTGTGTGTGTGCGTGTGTAAGCAGAGACATGAGAGAGGCAGAGAGTCAGCATGTGTGTCAGAGTGAAATATAGATGGAGGAGGCCGGTGTGTGTGAGGGTCAGCGAGGTGCAGTGTAACTGTCGACAATCACAGCCTTATTTACCTGTCAAAAACACTATCATCCCACACAGCCCCAGCCAAGCAATTTCTGCTGTCTCTTCCTCCCTCCTCTCCCTCACTCTCTTTCTCTCCCTCTGTCCCTTTCTCTACCTCCAATTACAACCTAGAGGGCTATTTCTCTCCAGGACAAAAACACTCCCCGCAAGCCCTCCCTCTACTTTCCGATAGCCCCCTTCTCTCTCCCCATCGTTTCTACCCTTCTCTCTTTTTTCCCACTCTCCCCCGTTCTTTTTCCTCTGCTGAGAGCTGGAGAGTGGAAATGAACAAGCTGTAAACACACACCACTTATCACAGTGTATGCTGTTGTGTATTTGTTGGTGAAGGCTGGAGAGGTGAAGGCTGTGGTATATGAGGCCAGAGGTGTCGGCTGCCTTAGCAGACGGACAGACGTGAAATAAAGATGCACAACAGGTTGAAAAGCAGTTTGATCAGTGCGCTGCCGGTCACTCTCGACACCCTTTTGCTCCAAAACTACAACTACCGCAATGTGCGTGGTTACAGAAAACGCTGAATATTTATACAGACGCTGTGGAATAAGGCTTGTGGTGTCTGCACTTTATACTGTCTGTGAGCCTCGTCTGGCCGTTTCACACTTTTTACACATCACAACTAAATCTCAAAATATTAAAAAGACATTTAAAAAAACACTTGTGTTCTTTAATGAGAGGTTTTTTGTTGTTTTTTAAAACCAGGTCCTGGTGATGTAAATATTGTTTCATGCACGTTGATCTGGATTAAATGCGAGCTATATTTATTAAAATGGCAAAAGCATTACTAGCCTCAACCTTTAAAATAGCTAAAAGCAACTGCATCATTACATTAAAGATACATTTCCCTGATCACATTACGAGGCACGTCATAATACTGTAAACACACTAGAAAAATTAGGATGTGTGTTCTGTTTCCACAGTTTATAGCATCCAGTTTTGGCCCCACAGCAATGACAGTTCTAAGTGGGATCATAGTACTACACCGCAGAGACGTAAACTCTAACTTATGTGATGCAGATTTGTTAAGTGACCTGGTTTGGGAAGTAATTTTGCTTTTAGAGGAAGAATGTATCAGACAGATTCCTCAGTGCGATGGCAGGTTGAATGACAGTGACAGAAAAGAATAACTGTTCTGTGGCCTGACTGAAAAGCCACTCTGAGGAATTTTGTTGATACATGACTGGCAGATATTTGGGTGGTCTTTTATTTCCTGAACAGATGCCAGTGAGTGAAACATACACATTTACACGCACGCACACAGGGACGCACACGCACGAACTGATAGAAGGTCCCGTCTGTCTTCGTGAGTGGCTCTGTGAAAAGGCCATCTGACAAAGCCATTAACAGGGTGGTGTAATGCCTGTGTCTGTAGTGAGCTGAATGACACAGAAAGACATTTATGGGCACTGCCATGACAGGAGAAGCACTGTGACATCTGACTGACTGAGTGAGTGGACTGCAAGCTGGTTGACAGATAAAGGCACACCGACACCACCGAAACAGCGATGGAGACAAGAGATGGGACATGGATCACGTCCGAGTAAGGGAAGAGTCACATGTTCTACAAGGCTTACACATGGGATAGCAACACACAGGAATATGTCAACATAATTTTACTTATTGTACTGACACGCCAACTCCAAGTTTTTTCAAATCGATCAAAAAAAGAGCGGGCCAAGATTTCACACAGCTCGGGTCAAGTTTGAGCACACAAGGTTTCCAGTTAATGGATCACTGAGTGTTGTATCTTGAAATTTCACCACAAAATGAATTTTCATTATCAGTAAGTGTAGCACTTTGCTCTAAATTATGGGGAATTTCGTTGCCATTTTAGGA